TAATGTGAGCTGAGCCCTCTTGTGATTTTAATCCTGAAACACCAATTTTGTAAACTTCAGGGCCCCGTTAAGCGATCATTTACATTTTTTTTTATCAAGAAACCAGTAAACTATGTTTTCATTTTGCATTACATGTTTTTAAAAGGGCAGCGTCACAAGCCTAAATATTGTATCCCACTAAATCAACTGCAAGGATAAAGTGAAAGAAACTCACAATGTTGTCTTTTAGCCTCTTTACAATTGAAGTGTGTGGCATCTAAAGGGAAGGTAAATCAGTGATGCCAAGGTATAATGTCTGTTCACGGGGGTCATAATGAATAGACCCTTTTGTGAGACTTGGTTATACCATGACTTGCTAGGTGGCTATGTAGCCAAGTGGTTGGTTCAAGTTGCCAACGAGGCAGTTTGCACGTAGTGGACACTCAGTCCCATGGGTGCCCCTCTAATTCAGTTGGAGCATTCAAAATAAAAAGACTACGTAAGAAAATGGTCACAATTGAAAACAACCTTCATCGCACAAAGTCAAGGAATGAAGACGATAGTGCTGGTCTCCCTCAGCTACAGTCTACGGTGAGTGCGTGAACACCACTAATGCAACCCCCGCTGACTTGGCTGCCCAATTGAGGATGTCCAGATGGCAGAAACAGGCGAACACACAGATTTATGTGGGCCATCATGAACCGACCCATTAGTCCTGGCACCGATGGGTGTGGCAGCGTGCTTGGTGGACCTCGCCTGAAGCTCCATGCATGAAAAAGCAATCCGACCCAATTTGAAGTGCAGTTCCAGGCTTGCGAAGCTTTTGGGTGGATTTGGCTGCTTTTTGTGATCTGCCACACTTGGCACACTCTCGCCTGCATACCTGCTGCATGCTCCGGTGTAACAAGTTGACACAGCGTCTTGCGCTGAACGATTTCCTTCGCCGAACAATTTCCTCCGCCACAAACGAAGTGCCATCTAAGGTGGAAAATGTGCGCTGTGAGCCCAGCGAAAATATAACACCGGAGAATAAACAGCAGCCACTTTAAAGGAAAACTTGGCACTCACTTCCTTGGAGCACAAATAAATATGTGGAGCAGATCTCTAGAACTGTTTTTCGTGGGAGCAGTATGGAAGAACTGGATGTATCATTGTTCAGGCGACGTAGAGACAAAGCTGTCAAACCCTAGTGCCTTGATCATGTGCAATGAGAATGATCACTTTGGTTTTTATTTGCTTTGTAATAATGTGGTTGATCATTGCTGTCGTGTTTGTTTTGAAACCTTCTGGATGCCTTTCAAACCCATTGGCATCTGATTGCGTGTACTCACAAGTGGAAGTATCATTGGCCAAGATTATTTTACGAGCTCTGTAGGCTGAGTCTTCCCACAGCTAAGCAAATAAACTATCCCCTTGGTGTGCGCAGACAAGGAAATAGAGAAAACAGACATTTGAGATCATTTTGGAGTAAAAAAATACTGCAATGAGTTCCTTATTAAAATGATACATTCACTGGATTTACGTGTATCGTGTGTCTATCTGTGTATGTGTAGTGACATAGAATCGGTCACGTAGCAGCATAGCGCTGGCTGTTGGCGGGGAAAGGGATCTGCAGCTTACAGCAGCCCTGACTGACAGAAGGTCACGTGATAGACCAGACAGGGATGTAGGGTAAATGTTATAGAAGGGGCACGTGAGGGGAGCGCGGGAATCCGCTAGTTGGTTCCAGAAGGGAGGCGTGGCCGGGGCAGGGCGAGGCCACGCTGGGAGGATAAAAGGGGACCTCGAGCGGGAGCTCGGAGCTGTCGTTTAGAGTGGGATCCCTGTCGTCGTCGTTGCTGCTAAAGATCGTCACCATCATCGCTGTCGTCTCGTGCCTTCGTCGCTGTCGTCACCACTTGATAATAATAAACCAGAGTGCCTCCTACTCTTAGTGTCTCTGAGTCACTACATGTGTATAAATTCGCACTCACGGCCAACACCAGTGACGATTATCTTAATCGGTCCTTAGCCTCCCCTAGGTCAACTCAGCCTCAAATGAGTACCTGGTACGGTATATAAACATCGCCACTAGGGAGACAAAGGTGGCCGGGCATGGTGCTGGCCACCCACCCCCTCATGTGCCATGCTGGTCTTCATAGGTCCTTGCTAACTGCATTTTCCCCAATAGTCTGTTAACGCTATACGGGGTATCTTTGTCTTTGTATAGACACTGCCATGTATTCTGCAGTGCCCCACAGCTGAACGATTTTTTGCCCATTTATAAATATGATACAACCTCACATGTTCATCCGATGATCACCACTCTCCAATTCCCGTAGTGCGAGGGCGCATTTAAACTCAGATTCAGAAACAGCTGCAGTGGGGGGGACTCACTAGTCAAGCGTTACGACATCAGCCGATGACCGCAGTGGCAGCAGGCAGCAACAGCAGGCACCTCCCAATCATGCTGTCATCCGCCCACCTTACCATGCACCTGCGACTGCACCAGGTGACCTCTGCGGCCACCAGCTGGAACAGAAACAGCTGCAGGCACAGCAGAAGCAGTAAACTCACCTGCCACAGTCCGCTCCGAGCAATCCGTGTTCTGTTCGCAGTGCTTTTCTCTGAATTGCGCCACTAATTTATTGCCCGTTTACTCTTGCTGTATTTATCTGCTTTCAAATTCCTATATCTTGTAATTGATCTTTATTTAAAGTTTCAACCTCTACATCTTCCGCTGTCAATAAATGTCTTCTGGCTTCATCAGCTGTCTTCCCACTTCTCTCCAATTGCTCTTCTCTGTCCTTGCTGGCACCTAAATTGCCTGTCTTATTGGTCTTCCACCTCACCCACACAATAATTTGGCATCCTGTACTCCATGTCCCGCTTGATCTTGAGTTTAGCGCCTTAGATCCAACTTATCTCCACCACCTCCATCTTCCTGCTTTACCTTGTGTGTTTTTTTCCCCGTTGGTCTCAATAGTCTACTCTTCTTCTTTGAGTCTTGATTGCCTCCACGGAGTTCATTCGTGACCAGATGAGATCACTGTCCAATTTCCATGACGACATCATTCCCCATGACATTGCGTACCTTTGACATCATGTCGTCATCAACTTTGATGATATTTTCAGCTTGGTTCGTGAGAACCGATAACCATTCCAGTAACGCTCGCCATGCAGCCAATTGACTCGTTTTATAGATGGGTTCGCGGAAGGAGGTATCACAGAATCGCTTCTGAAACTATTTAAAGTGACTTCCTATCTACACTAGGGGGCAGCACTTTCCCATCTGCCCTGCTTTAGATGACTTCAATTTAACCAAGTTTAGCAGAAAACCATGGGTGGAGTTAGGGCGGGGGGAAATACACCCCAAACTGGACACCTTTATTAATTTATTTTTAGTCGTTTACGATTAAGATTAAAATAAAAAATATATTGATATGCACTCGCGATTCCAAATGTGGGGGACAATGCGAATCCCTGCCCCCCGCCAAATATAGAAGTCAAACTCCGACTATGTAGAAAACCACATTTGAAGCGATGTTATTTTGTGTGTGAAGGCATTGGTGCGTTTTTTGAGCAGTCATTGGTAACTGGGCTGAGACCATTATGTCGCAAACACTGGGAACTTGGTTTAATCGGAGGCTCCTGCCGAGATTCGAACCGAGAATTTCAGTGTTGCCAGCTCGGAACTGTTAACCTCTAAGCAACCTGTCCGCCTCGTGAATTGAATTTACGTAGAAAACAAACAAAACCTTAAATCAATCAGAGTACTGTACAATGTATAAAATGGAGTGTAGAAATCCTGCTGGCAATTTCCATCGTGCAATAAATGCACACTTGCTTCTGATGGAGCAAACACGCTAGATCTGCAGCATGCGTGCTGCTTATCTGTGTCAACCTCGTCCCACGTGCTATCCCAAGCAACGCAGATGCGTGCCACCAAAGTGAAAGCGAATGCTTTCAAAGTGTGCGTTGCGGCTTCTACTTTGAATAAGACACGAAACTGTGCGGTATAGTTAAAGTTAATCGAAACCCTAAGCAGTAACTTTTATAAAAAGTAAGTACGGTATTTGAAATATTTGATTACATGTGGTCAGCATCGCGAAAATGTATTCACGCGATTGCCGCTTACTCGTGCTTAGGGTCGCCTGACATGGCTTAAAATAACCTTTGGGGATTAAGCATTGAGATGGCAAGGAGAGAAGGAGAGATCACGTGCGAGTGTAATTATGGGATAAGGTTTCCGGCGATTTAAGTGTGATATATTCATTGTCTGGGGGGTCAAGTGGTGAAGCATTGGTGGGTGTATCGTGCTACAAACCCGGTGACCCCAGTTCGATTTCTGGCCACAGTTAACATCAGTGGTGGATGATATCTGAACTGGCCCTGGGAGCCCCTAACCTCCTATCATTACACACCCGTACTCACCAGTGTGGCAATGCTGGTGAAATTGTGGTCCAACAACCCCCACAACTGACACAGTATCGGGAGGCCCTTATCCAGAAGTGGATTGACTAAAGGTTGTAAATAGTTTTCATTGTTTATATTCATCTTCTGTATTTATTTTAAACAAGGTAGGCGGTGTCATAATACACTTCAAAATTACATTGTTTGGCATGTAATGGTTTAAAAAAAATTGGTACACTTTCAAAATATAGTTACAGGCATAGCCTGGTTGAATACGTTCTTCCAAAGATTGCTAAATTAGAACTTAAGTGTAAAATTTGAGAGAGAGACAAGACACACTCACAGAGACACAAAGACAGACACACAAGCACTTCGACTAATATTGACATGACGGAGATGACAGCACTTTGAAGATGTGGAGGTTGCCTTTCATATTTATCTCACAGTTGTGTCTGTTTTCGCAGCGTGACTGCACGGCACAAAAGTATTTTTTAACATTTTATTTTCAAATCAGATTATGGTCATGGAAATGTATTATTTCCTGACGACTGACGAAGCACTCACACCACACTTCAAATGTAGTCCTTTTTGACATGTTGAGTGCTTCATAGTGATGTGTGTCTTCACAGGAGGATGCCGGTGGCATGTCCAGCCAGCCTCCACGCGCCCTCCTCTCCGTCACCAGCTGCTTCCAGCCCTCGCCACAGCACAGCTCATACGGGCAGCCAGGTGCGTTCAGGGCCAGATCAAAGTTGGATGGGCGCTGTTATAATTTAAAGCGTCCGTCGTTGTTTACCATTTAACCACCACCCGTACCGCATGCCAAACATTGTATAGTGTTGTTCAATCTTAATTTTGGAGCTTTCGTGACTGCAGGAATTATTCTTTGGTTTTTTCGGTAAAGTCACGTATAAAAATAAAATAATAAATTAAATAATAGCATACGACGTTTCGATTGCAACACAAGCAATCATCATCAGGTATAATGAAATAGCGACATAGAATATAACCAGAAAACTATAGACAGACATATAAGCAGACAGATATCACCAAGATACATAGAGAGAGCAACCCATCTTGGTGATATCTGTCTGCTTATATGTCTGTCTATAGTTTTCTGGTTATATTCTATGTCGCTATTTCATTATACCTGATGATGATTGCTTGTGTTGCAATCGAAACGTCGTATGCTATTATTTAATTTATTATTTTATTTTTATACGTGACTTTACCGAAAAAACCAAAGAATATAGTGTTGTTGTTTACTTTGGTTATTTCAATTCTGCTTTTTAAATGTGATGTACAAATTGTAAAGCTAAATCAAAGTTAAAATGAACAAAACCTTGAATTTTGGCACACAACTGATAGGCGCGAGTAATACACTTTCTTGTGATGCTACGGTTTTATTTACCAAATTATTTATGAGGAATTGCCAGTGCTACAGTTTTGCGCTTCAGCCATTGTAAAGCAGTATACGTTTTTGTGGGCCCTCAAAAACCCGAGGCCATGGGCTGAAGCTTTTGAAAAGCCTCTCCGTTAAAACAGCCCTGGTTGTGTTCCTCAGTCACTCCATGCCACTACCCCGCTGCTTCCCACCCCCATCGTGTACACTAAAACCCCTATCAATATTGGCATGTGCATATTGAACCACAAAACATTTCTCACCACCTTGGATATTGGTCATCTTCTAAACTCTGCAGCAATGATGCCAGCTGTGTAACCCGGACGAGGGCTAATGGAACTATTTTTTTCTTATCACAGTGAAAGTTATTTTAACGTGCCCTCAAAAAGCTAAATTATTTTTTGTTAGCTGCAGGACAATGTGCAGCCACTTCAAGTAGCAACAGCATTCCACTCATCCTTAGCATAAATGCAATGTTGCTGCTTGTGTGCTGTCTGCTTTAAAATCTAAACTTTAACAGGGAAGAGGAACACATTAACAATGGACATTTTAATAACAGACCCACCGATATCCACTTCTGCGTTTACCCAAGTCTGCTCACTCGAGCACAGACACCAGGAGTAATTTTGTGGAACTCTATCCGTTCTTTGGCATGCACCCCACAGTTCAGTGTCCCAGGGGCTTCATCAATGTAAAGTTGTGGGAACATGAGGCCACTTTCAGGATCAGTGGCTTGAAACTTGGTTGCACGAGACCAAGTTTCAGCCAGATTTGGTTTTGAAAAACATTGCCAGGGTAAATGTTCTAGGATTTGAGTCACATGTGTATCCGCGAAAGTTTCCAGTGAAGATCATGATGCCTGCAGTGGAGTTTTATCAGTTAAAGGGAGTATGGGTCTATTACATATCTAAATACATGCAAGTTGATTTATTGGTGAAAATCTACATTGCAAGCTGTTATTATTATTCTGAAAGATTTGTTACCATTTATTTATATTTTATCACGGATGCTGCGCATGGGCCCATAAGCCCATAATGCAAAGTGGCCAGGAAAAAACAGCACTCTTGAAAGCATTATACATAGTTTGTGTTTCTTGAATCGAGCAAGATTATAAGAACTTGGAGAAAGACAGACTATGGGGGAAGGGATTCCAAGGTTGAGCATTGTGAGGAATGTTATGTCCACAATCTAAAAACCAGTTTTCTTGAAAAGTGTCATGCTGTAACATGGCCTTCTGTTGCTATTGCTCGAGGGATGAATTGCATGATTGTCACGCCTATATAACCGTGCATGTGGTAACATAAAAATCTCAACTGCGTATGTCGGTGAAATGGTGACTTCACGCACAATGTTTTCAAATGATACCTCAGGACAGGAGAGATCACAGATCGTTCCAAACCATTAACCGATCATTTTTTCACAATTGTCCGTAACCCGTATGACAAGACAATTTCTATTCAGTTTTACGAGCTTCAAAATGACACGGGCCTCTCATACCAGGCAGAGGTGAGAATAATTTTCCAAACGCGCTCTCGGCAAGGTCCTGGCCTTAACCACACTTTAATAAATGTGTTCTTGAAACACACAAATCTTACCGATACATCAGTTACTGTAATTTAAGAGGTACAGTGTATTGAACATTTTATATCGTCCATAAACATTTATCACGATAAGCACGTTGTTAACAAATTAAGAGTTAAATCATGGCGTTATGGATTAGAAATATAGCCTTTCTTGAAGGCACTACTGGATAGTACATGTTGAGAGTTAGGTGAGAAAATACCTTAAACAGTGATAAATGTGTTTTCCTTTAACTGTAATTTTAAATACCGTGCAGTATCTTCACGGTGGTTAGTGACACTCCAACTTCAAAGCCTGGAGCTCTCGCCTACATAGCCTTCCCAAATGTCACCCGCGCTGCTGTATTCAACGAATGCTGTTTGTACGACACAACCATACGCAGTGACATTTACAGCAGTGACAACCCTCCGATGTGTTTTCGAGTCGAACCGTGCGTTTGTTCGGCACGTCGTCTGACGTTTCGCTCCAATGCGTGCTCGAACTGAGTCGGTTCGGGAACCGTGAATTGCTCCATTTCTGAAGCAGCTCCCAGCATGTGGGACCAAATGTCGGGACATTATTCCGAGCAACAACACCGAGAACAAGCCAAGAAAAAATTACATCAGAGGACCACACAGCACAACCGTAAAAAAAACCCTACACAGTAATTTTACTGGAGCGATGTCCAATGGTGCTACATTCTCCAAAATAATATTATGCAAAATTGACCACCCTACATGTGCCCTTACACCAACACATCCCACTATACAAATGATTTACTTTTAATTGAAAGTATTTTTTTACAATGTCTAACTCCGAGCTGTGTTGACAACGTTACTTTTTGCTCAGTCGTAATTAAAATGCAACAGTTTCTGTTTGATGAGAAAATCTATAATAACATGACTATGCATGCAGTTTGGAAACAATTAGATTTAACAAGACGCAAACGTATGCTCACAAATGGTGTGCTTATAAAGCAGGAATGCACAACTCCCATCATGCCTTGCATGCATGTCATGTGATCACCACAAAGTATCCAAAATGCTCTCAGCCTTATGCAGGCCTCAAGAGCTTAAAATGGGATCAAAGTAATAGTTAAGACCTTCAATTCAAAGTTTTTTTTAACACGTTCCTTCGGAGTGGGCAGGTAGGAGCTTGGTTGGACAGCGCATTCGTGCACGACAGAAAGCTCGCGGTCACGTGACGCACTTCAACCAATCCGGGAGCGTACATGTTTGGGAGGGGCTATGCACGACAGACAAATAATCCCTGGTGGGCAGTGTGGAACTGTTGTTCCTACCTGTAATATGTAGCCTTCCTATGGCATGGCAGCTGATGGTCGAGCCTAACGGATGGAGTGGCAGCCAAAGACGGGAACACAACTGAGGCCATTGCCACCGCAGACATGGAGAGATGAGTTTAGCGAACAGGCAGAAGGGATATGAATTGTTGTATTTGTATGACCGTGATGCGGTGGCCTTCATCCAGCAGTGGATTTATCTTGGCTAATGATGATAATGACTACACTGTAGCATCATATTTTTCATGCTTTAGCTGCACAATGATGCAAGCGTTTATTGCAGCAGCATAGGTAGAGGAAAACGACTTTGGTTACTACTTTACACGTGGGAGACACAGAATGCAGTATACAGTATGTCAGAGGTTTTTTTTCGTTCACATGCACGCTATGTGTGTATGTGTCGGGGATAAACAATTATCGAACTGGATTTTAATGTTTAACAGCAGGTTATGTATTTTAACTTGGCCACACACTATACCCACATGAAACATTAACAGAACATTTACTCGGACTAGGGTTTACAGAAATATTCTACGTGTCTTGGATAAAAGCCAAACACTGAGGATGGAAAAGTACCAGCTATCTTATCATTCATACCAATCTCAATTGGGCTCATTCCAACCGACCTGCTTTTACCCCTTCATGACCTACTTCTCTCCCATTTGACATTTGTGCACGCCAAGTCAAAAATAAACTGCCGGTGCTTTTGATTCACCTGCCGATATGAATACGTGATGGTCATCAACTTAGCACAACATTCAATTGTGTCCATTGTCCAGGCTTGCTGATCCTCTGAGGCTGGTGGGACAGGCTTCCAGAGACCATACTCGTCGTTCTAAGTCCAGTGGTTGCAAATGTAAATGTTTCCTGTAAATGTATACTCATTAACTTTGCATTATAGCAGTGCAATGCAGGGTTTGGGTTTATTCAAAATCAGGCGAAAGGAAAATGCGATGGCACGTCATCCATTGTGGAATGGAGCTAAGGATGTGGTGGGAGTGACCAACTCAAAATCTTTCACGGAGTGCGAGCACTCATCCACTGAGCTGTCGTCACCGCCTGCATCTGACATTGAGAACCATGCACTTTGTACGTTAGCTCAGTTGTGGACGAGTTAAAAAATAACCTCTTCATCGAAACTCCACCTGCATATATGTAGGCAGAAACGATTATCGAACTATGTTTTAATGTTAAACTGCATGTTACGTCAAAAACCTAGCAGTTACTGTAAGTATTCAGTGAGTTGAACATGTAATCAATGTAATGAATTTCTCTACTGTAGTTCCATTTCCCTCTCACCAAAATATTTGTATTATCAAAAGCGTCCTTAATTTCGTGTTTTGGATGTGCAGCTCATTACATCCCGCAAATGGTTTGAGTGAATTTAGATCGTACTGTCGTGTTACTTGAAGCATCGATGCATCATCTCGTGTTACTTTAAGCATCAATGCATCATCCAGTGGCAGA